CTTTAACCATCAATGAGTTTCTTAAACCTCTCTACTGGAATTTTGGAGCACTCTTCTTTCGCCAACTGCTCCAGGTCTCTCAGATTGGAAGGGTTCCTTTTCCCAACTGCTGTTTTGAGATCTCTCTACAGGAGCTCTATGGGACTGAGATCTGGACTCATTGCTGGCCACTTCAGTACTCTCCAGCGCTTTGTCTGAAACCATTTCTGGGTGCTCTTTGACGTGTGCTTTGGGTCATTGTCCTGCTGTAAGACCCATGACTTCTAATGGAGACCCAACTTTCTGACACTGGGCCCTACATTTCACCCCAGAATTCTTCAGTAGTCTTCAGATTTCATAATGCTATGTACACAGTCAAGACATCAAGTGCCTGAAGCAGCAAAGCAACCCCAAAACATCAGTGAACCTCCACCATGTTTAACAGTAAGGACTGTGTTCTTTTCTTTAATGGTCTCATTTCTTTTTCTGAAAACAGTAGAATGATGGGCTTTACCAAAAAGCTGTAATTTTGTTTCATCTGTCTATGGCATTCTCCCAAAAGGATTTTGGCTTCCTCAGGTAAGTTTTGGCAAATTCCAATCTGGCTTTTTTGTTTCTCTGTCAGCAGTGGGGTCCTCCTGGGTCTCCTACTATAGCGTCCCTTTCATTCCGATAGTGTGACCTGACACAGTTGTACCTTGTGATTGAAGGTCAGCTTGAATTTGACTGGAAGTTAATCGAGGCTCTTTAGCCACAATTCGAACAATCCTTTGTTGCAATCTTTGATCAAAGTTTCTCTTTTATCCATGTCCAGGGAGATTAGCTGCAGTGCCATGGGCTGTAAACTTGTTGACAATGTTGCGCGCAGTGGACACAGGAACATTAAGATCTCTGAAGATGGGCTTGTAACCTTGAGATTGTCCATGCTTTTCCACAATTTTTGTCCTCAAATCCTCAGACAATTCTTTGGTGCTCTTTCACTTCTCCATGCGCCATGTGGCACACAGAGACACACAACAGAAAGGTTGTGTACATTTTTCACTATTTTAACTGGTTGCCGGTGTGATTTACATATTGTTAACTGGTACAGGTGAGTTTAATTACAAATTACAGGAGCATCACAAACTTGGAATGCAATTATTTCGTACAATTTTGAGAAGGTGTCATTAATTTTGTCCAGTCCATTTTTGGGGTTTTGTGTGGAATGTATTAGATTTGGCTTTTTGTTTCTCCATTTTTTGTGTCATACCAATACAAACAAAAAAAGTAAATCATGACTAAAAGACAGAGCTACAGTTGTGTTCAAAATAATAGCAGTCAGACATCACTAACCTGATCAATTACTGTTTTTGGTAGAAATGATATTTCTACATGGCAAATAATTTACTAGCAGGTGTAGTAGAGTCATAGAAATCCAACAGACCCAACAGTGATGACATGCATGCTGCTGATTCTGTGTAATTGAATCACTAATTGAAAGGGGCATGTTCAAAATAATAGCAGTGTGGAGTTCTATTAATGAGGTCATTCATTCTTTGAAAAACAGGTGGCAATTATTGCCCTTTTTTAAGGAAGGAAGGCAGCAAATGTTGTACATGTTGGTTACAGTACATTTCTCTCTGAAATTCTGAGGAAAATGGTTCGTTCCAGACATTGTTCAGAAGAACAGCGTACCTTGATTAAAAAGTTGATTGGAGAGGGGAAAACATATAAAGAAGTGCAGAAAATGATAGGCTGCTCAGCTAAAATGATCGCAAATACTTTAAAATGGCAACCAAAACCTGAAAGACGTGGAAGAAAGCGAAAAACTACCATTCGAATGGATAGAAGAATAGCCAAAATGGCAAGGACTCAGCCAACAATCAGCTCCAGGAAGATGAAAGAAGGTGTAAAGTTACCTGTGAGTACTGTTACAATTAGAAGACGCCTATGTGAAGCCAAGCTATCTGCAAGAAGCCCCCGCAAAGTCCCACTGTTGAAAAAAAGACATGTGCTGAAGAGGTTACAATTTGCCAAAGAGCACATTGACTGGCCTAAAGAGAAATGGCACAACATTTTGTGGACTGATGAAAGTAAGATTGTTCTTTTTGGGTCTAGTGGCCGGAGACAGTTTGTCAGACGACCCCCAAACACTGAATTCAAGCCACAGTACACTGTGAAGACAGTGAAGCATGGTTGTGCAAGCATCATGATATGGGGATGTTTCTCATACTACAGTGTTGGGTCTATTTATCGCATACCAGGGATCATGGATCAGTTTGAATACATCAGAATACTTGAAGAGGTCATGCTTCCTTATGCTGAAGAGGAAATGCCCTTGAAATGGGTGTTCCAACAAGACAACGACCCCAAACACACCAGTAAATGTGCAACATCTTGGTTCCAGACCAACAAGATTGACGTTATGGAGTGGCCAGCCCAATCCCCGGATCTTAATCCAATAGAAAACTTGTGGAGTGACATAAAAAAATGCAGTTTCTGAGGCAAAACCAAGAAATAGAGAAGAACTGTGGAATGTAGTCCAATCATCCTGGGCTGGAATACTTGTTCTCAGGTGCCAGAAGTTGGTTGACTCCATGCAACACAGATGTACAGCAGTTCTCAGAAACAGTGCTTATACAACTAAATATTCATTAAGTGATTCAAAGGAAAGCAAAATCTTCAAACATTTTTCAGTTTATATAGTGAATGTTTGAGTTTGTAAAGAAGAATACAAACACTGCTATTTTTTTGAACAGTCTAATATTCACTTTTCTTCAATTTTTTTAGAAGAACAACACAAATTTGATATATTTTTCTTTATGTTTTGATTTGGAATAGAATGTGTAATGTTCCCAATGATGCATTTGTGTGTATGGAAATAAAAGCTATTAGAAGGATTTTGAGCTTTATTCACTTTTTTCAACACACTGCTATTATTTTGAACACAACTGTATGTTTGCTTTCAAACTAGCTTTCTATGTATTTTTAAAGTCCAGTTGAATCTTCAGTTTATCCACCATAATGCCAACATATTACTTCTCTTTCGCTCTAGGCCGATGTGATAGTTTGACTGACAATTACTCGGCCATTTACCCAGATTCATTTGTTATCATTTTTTTGAGACAGGGCTTTCTTTTGGTGGTATTAGTAGGAGGGGCCAGTTGCGTCATTGGTAGCTAGCTCTCTTTACACAGAAGAGGCAGCCAGCCAAGGAGGACCAAGATGGCGGTGCAGGACCCGGTGTATTTTACTTGAACAGTGGACTGCAGCGGGACAACGTTGGATTTATGGGTTGGTATGTGTGAGTGAGTGGATGAGAGAACCCAGGAACACAATAAAAGGAAAAAATGCAGGGGAGGGAGCTGCTGCAGATGTGCATAGTGCTGAACCGAGATTGGGCTCAGGTGAGTATTTGGGGGGCAGGCTAGGGGGTGCTACTATTAAAAGGTTTTTTTATCTTGATGCAGAGAATGCAAAAATCCTTAACTTGTACAACCACTTTAACATGCTTTCAATGAATCATTAATCTCTTCACCTATTATTAGTAATTTCCACAATTTCTGCAAAAGAATCATTACTACATCATTACATGAATACATAAATACACACCAGCTTCCGTTCCTCCTTTATAGCTCACCATAGTTGTGTTTGCACTTCTTTAGGGCTTTGCTATATCCCTTACACAGGGCAGGTCATTCTTAGAGGTAGCACAATTCAGTATTTCCTTTAATTCAGTATTTCCTTTAATTCATAGCAACAGGGAATCAGTAGGAGATAGGGGAGGGCTGCTGCAGTGTTAATACTTGTGTTTACCATTTGTGATTGGTTTACAATGACCACAAGGCACAGAACCACTCTGATTGGCTCTTTTGATTTTGCCTGTGATCTGCGCTGTCTAATGACAGGTATTGTGGGCAAACCTGGCACATACAGTATATACTCACTATCAACATCTACATAATGTCAGAGGTGTAACATAGAATTGTTTATTTACTAAAGCTGGAGAGTGCAAAATCAGGCTCACTTCTGCACAGAAACCAATCAGCTTCCAGGTTTTATTGCAAAAAGCTAAATTGAACAAGCCGAGGTTAGAAGCTGATTGGCCTCTATGCAAAAGTGAGCCTGATTTTGCACTCTCCAGCTTTAGTAAAACAAACCCACAGCCATTTAGTCGCAATGGCTGGTTGTGGGGTGGCTAAATCATCTAAATACATTCAAATTGCATCAAAACAAAGTGCCTCATGCATAATGGACGTTTGGACATCTCTGCTGGACACCTTTCCTCTTGGCAGTAGTGTTTTGGCAGAAAAATGCTTGATGTCTGTAAATGTGTATAACGCTTTAAGGTGCGTCAAGCACTTGGGTGTTAACTCATTTCATTGGCCAGAATAAAATTTTATTCTGGCCATTAGGATGAATTAATGCTCAAGCGCTAAACATGCCTATCGTTAACCACTTGCCTACAGGGCACTTATACCCCCTTCTTGCCCAGGCCAATTTCCAGCTTTCAGCGCTGTCACAGTTTGAATGACAAATGCGTGGTCATGCAACACTGTACCCATATGAAATTTTTATCATTTTTTTGAGACAGAGTTTTCTTTGGGTGGTATTTAATCACCTCTGGGATTTTTATTTTTTCTTAAACAAACCAAAAACCACTGAAAAGTTTGAAAAAAAAAGTTTTTTTCTTAGTTTTTGTTATACAATTTTGTAAATAAGTGATTTTTCTCCTTCACTGATGTGCGTTAATGAGGCTGCAGTGACGGGCACTGATAGGCTGCACTGATGGGCACTGATGAGGAGGCACTGGTAGGTTGCACTGATGGGCATTGACAGGCATCATTGATGGGCACTGAAAGGCAGCACTGATACATGACACTGATATATGGCACTGATAGGCGGCACCTATAGGCAGCACTGACTGGCACTGATAGGAGGCACTGACTGGTACTGTTAGGCAGCACTGACTGGCACTGTTAGGCGGCACTGACTGGCACTAATAGGAGGCACTGATGCGTACTGATAGGCGACACTGACTGTCACGTATAGGTGGCACTGATTGGCAGCACTGATAGGTGGCACTGATTGGCATTGATAGGTGGCACTGACTGGCACTGATGGGTGACATTGAAAGGCAGCTCAGATGGGCACTGATATGTGGCATTGATGTGCACTGGTATGCACTGGTATGGGGCATTGATGTGGCACTGATGGGCACTGGCACGTGGCACTGATGAGCACTGACTGCTGGCACTGATGGACACTGACAGGTGGGACTTCTGGGGCTACACTGATCATCAGGGCACACTGATCATCAGTGCCCTGATGATCAGTGTACATGTCCCCTCCGCGGAAAGCCGATTACCGGCTCTCCTCTCGAGCTGTCAGCGTGACAGGTCGAGAGGAGAGAAATGCCGATAACCGGCATTTCTGTGTTTACATGTGATCAGCTGTGATTGGACACAGCTGATCAAATGACCGAGCCGACATCTTTGGCTCTTTCCGTGATCCATGATCCGCTGTGTCCGAGGGACACAGCACACTGGCGATTGCCACGCTGCGCGCTCCCTGAGCCGCGTATGCGCGGTGAGAATGGAAGGACGTCATATGACGTCCTATCAGAACGAGAGAATCACCTTGCGCCCGTCATTGTACTATATGGTGGGCGGAAGGTGCTTAAAGCACGTTTAGATGTGTTTCCAGGCAGAATGAAAATGAAAAAAAAGGTATACTACTATTTATATTTGCTAAAATAATTCAATTTCCATGTTGTGTGTACTGTGGGAGACCAGATATAGTGAATGCAGGGTCCTGGTAACACTTTAAGCTATTCAGCTTCATATGTTATTTCACAGCTTGTGCTAAGGAGACAGGTAAAACGTAAAAAAGGAAGCCTAGAGCTGGATTTACAGAATATTCCGAGTGATCGCTTAACAGTAGACAAAACAATGAATAATATGAGTAATGTGGTGTCTGGACTATAATAAAGTTGGTACATGGCACAGCCTGGACCACAATACAATCTTGCATCATTTAAAGCACACCTCCAATAAAAATAACAAGATAAAAAGGAATAGTCCATTAACCACTTGTACCAACAGTACATTTATCTCTGGCAGCTGTTTTCTCCAGGCACCGTGATGTACCCATATGTTGTGGTGAACTTCCTGACTTAGAGGCGCGTGTGCCCCCTGCTGATCTGTGCCCTGACTGGACACAGCACAAGTTTGTCAGCAGGTTAAAGCCAATTATTTTGCTGTTGATCGGCTGTGGCCAATCACAACACAGGAATCTGTGTGTTTGTAAACACAACACACAGGCTCTGGCTGGATTTCTCCCTGATATCAGTTACCATTTAGAACCAGAATTGGAGGGAGAGACCCAGTCATATCTGTGAGACAAAGCAGCACACATACACTTGTTAGGCACACAGTTAACCTTGAATGCTCTCCTGATCACTTCTTTCACCCAGCCAGTGTCATTAGTACAGTGTACAGTATTATGATCACTGTATTAGTGTCACTAGCAATGTCAGTGTCAGTCAGTTAGTGTCCCTCTTAGCCAGTGTCAGTTAGTGCCAGATTGCAAGCCACACTATCACTGTCACACTAGTGTCCCCAAAAATGAAGTGTTAGATGTGGGATTTTTTTTAACCAAAGACATGTAGCAGAATTAATTTTGGCATACATTTTTGAAGAAATTTCATTTTATTGGATATAACAGAAAGTAGAATATACTGTTTTTTTTCAAATGTTCAGTCTTATTTTATTTATCTAATTAAAAAAAAACCCAACGGTAATCAATCACCACAAAAAGAAAGCCCTATTTGTGTGAAAAAAGTTATATAAATGTAATTTGGGTACAGTGTTGCATGAACGAGAAATCAGAAGTAGTAGTAGCAGTAAAGAAGTACAGTGCTGAATAGCAAAAACATGCCCTGGTCATAAAAGGGGTAAAAATATTTTAAAAAAAAAACACAAAAGTAGATTTTATTTATTTAGTTCACATATTTATATAGCTCAGACAATTTACACAGCTCTTTACATATATATTGTACATTCACATCAATCCTTACAATTAAGGAGCTTACAGTCTAAGATCCTTGCCTTACATTCATACATACATATACGAGGGCCAGTTTAGACAGGATTCACTTAACCTACCAGCATGTGTTTGCAGCTTTTGCTCTTCACCTTCCATCCACAGATTTCTGTTTCAATAAGTTTATTGGTTTTGCAAATGAACATAAGAAATCTAAAGGAAGCATGTGAACCGCCTGCGCAGGGGCTAAATAGTGAGTCATCTCTACACACCGATCAATATGGGTTACAGTCATGGAAACCAAAATAAAAGAACTCTGAATAATTGGGATGATACCAATAAGTTGAACATTCAAAAACTCACCGAAGGGGAGGCTCTTCTCCTGAAAAGAACCCCATAGGGTGGTAGCTGCATGAGCAAGAACAGAGAAGAACTGGAAAGAATAAGTAAGGAAAAAGAAAAGAGGATCATAGGCAAGACAACCCTCATAGGAAAGAGGTAACTCGGACTTGGAAGCCCTGAGGGGAGCTTCAGACAAGGCCCCCATCCAGAGATTTCACTGGCAGTGTTTTTTACTGCCAGTAGATGTCCTCATTCTAATGGCTAGCATTGTTCAGCCCACTTCATCTGAGCCCAGGTCATCATGGACCCATCCCAAACTGTGATAGGACAGTGAAAGGAGTAGAAGAGTAGTGTTCATCTCACTGTCACTCTTTTTTTTCCTTCTATCGCTATGCTTCTGTCTGTGTTCCAGGCTGTGCACCTGCACAGCTTTCGAATTGCCTGTTCTGCCGCTGCTTCTGAATTGACTTGAATGGGTCTGCCTGCACAGAAATGCACGGAAATACCTGTTCATTCCTATGTGGGCCAATATGGCTCACACAGGCGTGTGCTTATGCCTGTGTGACCACGGCCTTAGTATACACAAAAATTACTGGGCATACCTACAAGGGCTGTTTTCACCACTCTCTTTCCCTTATAATAGGAATTCAAAACAAGAGCAATTTTTATTTATTTATTTCAGGTACTTATATAGCGCCGTCAATTTTTCGCAGCGCTTTACATATATATATATATTGTACATTCACATCAGTCCCTAACCCTCAAGGGGTGTACAATCTAAGGTCCCTAACTCACATTCATACATACACATACTATGGACAAGAGCAATAATTTAGGGGTTGGATACGCATTTAATGTAGAAACATAGAAAAGTGACAGCAGAAAAAAAGACCAAGTGGTCCATCGAGTCTGCCCATTTTTTTTGTTTTTCTTTATACATGTTTTGTATTTTTTTTCCATTAACTTTTTTGTCTGAGTATAGATCTACGCTTGTCCCAAGCATGTTTGAAGCCGTTTACAGTTGACTGGCTCACTACCTCTGCTAGAAGTTTATTCCACGCATCAAATACCCTTTCAGTATAATACTTCTAAGACTAGTTTTGATTAGTTTTGAATTTTCCTCCAGTTAGTTTGAGGTCATGTCCCTGTGTTTTTGATTTTGCTTTCAAAGTGGTAAAACACTTTTGGTAGTTTTTTTTCTTTTTTGCTGATCTGCTTTCACCTCCCTGAAGTAGTGTCCTTTCATTGAGACATGTTCACATTTTCCGAGGCCTGTCTGGACAAGCAGATTGGAGCTTAAACAAGTTTATTTCTACTTACCCCTGTTTGCAGACAGTCCTTAGATCTGCTTAGACGTGACTGGACAAGTCCCTTCTGATTTGGACACGCCAGTGACTGTTCAGATTTGTCTGGTCAGGTTCTGCTTAGTATAGTCTTGTTTTGTCACGTTCAGAACTCTGCACACAAGATCGAACATGCGGCTCCTAGAGCAGACATGTTGAAAACTGCTAAGACCAATTCAGGCGAATATCCTCTAATCTGGTTTTGTTTAGGTCTGCCTTGACCTGTCTGGACAAGTTTCTTCTAGCAGAAGCATGTTGTAATAAGCTGAAACCTGTTTGTAAAGAGGACTCATTTTTATTCCAAATGTGAGCGTGATTGTTTAGAATCGTATAGAAAAGCACTTAACATAGAAAGTTTTTATATATATATATATATATATATATATATATATATATCTCGGGAAAGTATTTTTTTTTTTATTTGTTATTGCGCTTACACATCCACACCAAATACTTCTTTGTGCCTAGAATAAAATATACACAATTGATCAATAACTGGTCCCTCCCTCTTCCTTAAAAAAACATTAAAGTGCTTTCAGAAAATATGTGTCAAGTAATCTTCAGATCTAAAATGTGCGTTTTAACATATGCAAGAAAAAAAAATTACAAAATGTCTCCATGGGGAAAAAGGGTAAAGTATATGTAAACCCTCACCTTTTAAAATAACCCATTCAGTTTAAAATAGAAATTAAATGAAAAATATTTTGTATACATATATTCAAAAAATTATAAATACTTTCCTGTTAAGTGATCACATATTTTCTGTTCTTAGCACAAAGAGCCTTGGAAAGCAACACACTGGTCTTCCCAGTGAATGGCTGTGCAGGAGGGTGTGTCAGCACAAATGTGATCTTTGGAGGACAGGTGGGTTGGGCTTCCAGCAGAGCGAGAAAACTGATCATACTGGGAAAGATGTACTTCTACACCTAGTGTGGTCAATTTGAAATAGGAAAGCAGAGGGACTTGCAGGAACACCAGGGATTTCACACAAAGGAAGCAATATAAAGTGAACAGGATACTTTTTAATACAAGTACATGGTACAGCAGGCACATACCAGGAATACCAGAAATGTTGGGGTAACATATTCTTTAATATCACTGCACATGTTAAATAAGACCAGCTGAGAGAAAGTGTCCAGGTTTGATGACAATTCCTATGATGGCCAACAAATCGTTTGTTTCTGTACAGTGTATTTCTTGGCAAGGAAATGTTCTTTTGCAATTGTGGATAATGGTTAACCTCTAGTGTCTCTTGTTGGCAAATAATCTTGTTTTAACAAAAAAGATTGGATAATGCCTAGGGAAATCTACTGTAGGACATGTTCTGTTATGTGTGGAAAGATCTACATATCCTGCAAATTCTTCTCTGACCTTTTGTGTGAATATGAAATAATCTTTCTTACTTTACAAAGTGGAATACCTGGGTGAGAAACTTCAGATGGACATTGCCCTTCTCTGATTTTCAGGATGCATACCATACCATACTTCATCATACTGTTTAATTTCTGTATGAAGAACATATTTTAACTAAGTAGAAGCAAGGGTAGCTTCCACCTGTGACTTCTCACGGAGGAATTTTGTTTTGTGACAGTTATATTACCTCCATTCAAATCACAATCTGATTGTCCATCTTTTTAGTCTGTCAGCCTGTATGTTTATGATAATGCTGTCAGAGGGGAAGACGGCTGATGTAGGGGGGAGAGCAGAGAGCAGTGTTGGGCAGCAGGCAGTAGATGGAACTTTTTCTGACAGAACCTGTCATGTAGCACTCTCCAACTGTCAAACTGCAAGAACATATTTATTTATTTCAGGTACT